GCCCCGAAGAAGCGTCAATCAGCTGGAAAGCGGCACTGATCCTGGTGCTTCTGCTGAGCCCTGATAGCCCTGCAGCTCCAGCCATCTCTCACTCAGGCTTGTGCAGTGCTGCCACTGGTTCAGCTCATTCCCCTCCCCTGCTACCACTTTTCTAGGATGGTCGCGTATCACCTGCCAGGTGCCAATGTACCACAGGTGGTACCCGTACCACTGGTTGAAAAGCCCTGGTATAGATTACTTCAGCCATGTCATCTCTTGGGACCAGGAAGTGTGTCTTTTCTTTCGTGGTGCCTGCCCTCTGGAGCAATGTCCTGTAAATATTTCTTTTTATTGTTTTTCTGTTTCAAACTGTAAGCCACATAGTGTCATTCTGGATTTGGGTGATTACCAAATCTGTAAGAACTGTTGTAAATTCGGTGCTTCTTCCATGCACTGGGCTAAGCCCAACACAAGCTTGGATTTGCATTTAAAATCTGAACTGTCCATCAGCTGTCAGTTTTGTCCCCATGCATTTTGCTCTGCAAAGTCAAATACAATAGATGCCTCTCAGTGGATAACACAGAAGAAACAGCTTGAACAATCATATGGCTCACTCTCATATCACTGTCACTCAATATTACTTTTCATTAGGATTTGTTTCACTTTGGCTGAATATTTAGAAGGGTTATCTGGCTGTGTTGTGTATTTAAGATGCCAGATCTGCTGGTTTGTGGTGATTCATTCGTAAATTTCGATTATTGTGGCAAACTGTCTGCTATAATTTAAGGTTTCCATTCACATTGAGAAAAGTGATGGGCTAGAAAATTGTGATTTCTCTAGTCTAGACAACTAACCTGGTTTTTACTTCTCATGAGGAGCAAGCAAGGTTACTGACTCACTAGCTTGTTGGCTTTCTTGTAGGACTAGGCTGTGGTTTGTCAGATAATTTCTCAAATCAGAAGAATAGCGTTTCAGATTTCTGAAATTGTACAAACTGGTATTTTCAGTCACCCTATTCTGGAATATATCCCTGTGATTTTAGTTGAAGTTAAAAATTGTTCAGGGTGGAGTCTTTTGCCATTGAAAACAGATATTTCCAATGATAAACTGTGTGGGACCCTGACAGAAAGGAAAGGTGCTTGCAGTTAAAGATGAGCTTCTTGCTGAAATAATTAGAAGATTCCCTCTCATGGAACAGCAGGATTTTTTTTCAGATAATACTCATTAATTTTAGAGCAAGGGAGATACAATGATAACGCTTGTGAAATTGATAATAATAACTTGAGGAGAAATAATTTCAGAAATTTTGCTGAGTTTAGATAACTTTATGATTATACATAGGATGACATTTTGAAGACTGATCCCCTTATGTCTTGCTCTAATTCCATTCTAACAAGAATACAAGAAACCATTCAAAGTATTTTTCTTACCTTTTAGACAAATATTATAGTAACTTTAGATTTTTAAGTAAGCTGCTTCCATTCATTGCCTTTTTTAAGTTGTTAAATACAGCTTTACTTGAATTAAATGAAATGCTGTCGAGTAGAAATTTTCATATTATCCAGCTAGGCACATTTTTGAAATTGTTTTGCACTATAATGGTGGGCAGTGTTTTTTTTTATAGTGCATCTATTTTGAATATTCTGATATTCAGTATTGGATATGGACATCTATTTTGGGGAAATCATAATGATATTCTCTCCATTTCCCTTTCCCCATAAAATTTATAATTTTCCATAAATTATGCTTGAAAATTCTTGTAATATAATTGAATGTAAGGTAGAAATCATTTATTATAAATCTAATCTATTGTATTGATTTATGCCAATAGCTGTGATAAAGTAAATTCAAAGCTCCTCAAAAAGAGAAAAATATAGACATTGTTTTTCTTGTATAGATCAAGGATCTATGGCTTTACTATAATAAATTCAAACTTGGCTAATAAACATTGCCATCTTATGGTAGAATAAGGAAAACACCATCTTTAAGAAAACTGTTCCTTTTATGTCTTATATTAAATATCCCTCAAAGCAAGAACAATGAGTATTGGGGATTTTTTTTAGTAAATATGGAGATAAACTAAGGGCCTTAAAATTATTTTTGTCTTACTCTTCAGATGAATAATTTTAACTTTCCTAAAATAATTCTGATTTTCCTAGAAATCATTTTCCTGATTTGAATACTTACTGCACAGAATAGTATAAGGAGTAATTCTTCTGATTCTATAGTATTATTGCTATTTTAACCAACATTACTCAGGCTTCACAATCATAAATAAATTTCCCATTATCTTATTGACTCAAATAGCAATGAATGTGGTATTACTCAAGTGTTTCTGACCCTTTGTGACCTGCTGGACATCATTTTTCTAGGATTCTTTACCAGTAATTATGCCTTTGAATTCTAACTCATTCATATCTATACAGAACATAGTTCTGATATATTCTTTATGCACATATTTAATATAATTTATTGTGTAACTTTTCCAATAATCCTTAAACAAGTACCATAGATATGACAACTACTAAATTAAACTGACCAAAGAGTGAGGGATCTTTGATGCTCTCTGACCTTGGTAGTTTTCTTGCAGATGTTTCATTACCCAAACTAGATAACATCATCAGTGCTAGTAAGGAGTGGGATTCACTCTCAGTTTATATTTGGGCAGAATTGGGGTATTGCATCTATCCTTGCCCTACTTTACCTCTCAATGATTTTTGATAGCATTGACCATGGTGTTCTTCTGCATTGGCTCAGAGGATTGAGAGTGGGAGGTACAGTGTTGCGCTGGCGTACCTCCTTCATTCAAGGCCAATTCCAGAAACCATGGCTCCTGTGTCATAGATCTCAGGCCTGTTTTAAGATGCTACATATGTACCTACAAGGAAGCAGCTTTCTTTTAAGTATATAGTTTGTGTGTTAAGGGGCCAGTTGCCTTTTGGCCTTGGGTGTCAATGGAAGCTCACTGGCTGGAAGAGGGTCCATTTGAGTTTTGGTTGGAGCAGTGAACAGGAGGAATGTTGCTTTTTTGCTCTTCTAATCATTACATCAAAATTAAATTAACCTGCTGAAAGAGGAAATCCTATACTTTTTACTTCACAGAAGTTTATCAATGTATGTTCTAGTCTAAAATAACTCTGAAATAAATTAACAAGGAGTGGTAAGTATTTAATGAAGGAAGTAAAATAGAAATAAAATCCAAAATATATTAATTAATATGTCAGATTATTTTCCAGCAAAGAGATGTCAAGGTTCTTCATTTTCTTTCTTTCTTTCTTTTTTTCTGTGGATGGATGGCTGGTGGCTTTGAATGAAGCCTTTTGGCAAGTGGCCATATTTCAACAAAAGGAAGAGCACAGCTGTTCTAAATCAATGGAATTTTTTTTAGATTTAAATGCTGCAGAGCTTGCATGTTAGGGATGCATAATAGGATTTATCAACCCGACAGAAGATCAGAGCTGTTACTTTTACCAAAATGAACTATTTACTTGAACCTTTAAAATCTGCTAAAAATGACTCTGTATAAAAAGGCCTTAAGATTACATGAGTGTTTGTAAATCTATGCCCTTCTTTCCCCTGCCCTCCTTGAAATGTCCTTAGAATGATTGATGTCAGAGACACCAGAATGAATTAAGTATAAAAAAAAAATGTCTCAAGTTGGCTACTGACTAAAGAAATGAGACTCCACAAGATTTGGGGGTTTCACAAGGTTTTTCAGTTAGGATAATCTCATTTTGCTTCTTTCAGCTACTATTATTGTGCCACTTAAACTGAGAGTATTTATTTAAATATAGCTTTATCGCCTTGTGATTTCCAAGTGGTATACAATGAAAAATGAGAAAATGGAATTTGTCTTGCTTGTTCCAAAGGTCATTTTTCAAAAGGCAACTGGACTTTCTTTGTTTTTTTTCCCTTGAAGACGTTTCACTTCTTCAAGGGGGGGGGGGAATAACAAAAGTCCAGTTGCCTTTTGAAAAAGCATCTTTAGAATAACCATGACCTGGATGACTTTGAATCTCCATAGACATTTGTCTTGCTTCCAAATGTATTTGACATGAGTAAAAAAAGCATTTCAATTTTCATAAGTTAGGGTTTATATTTTCTATTTGATCTGCCTCCATTTGTAGTCTTTACAGTCTATTTTAGCAAGGCTGACTAGGCAATTAAAGCCCAGCATTTTTGGAATGCATGAGATTTGGGAAGACTGTACAAAATCAGTATTTTGGATACATTGGAAGCCTCAATAAGGAGTCGAAAGAAAGACATTCTAGTTTGATGAATAAATCAGTTCACAAATTTTGGATCCAAATTGCAATATCAGCTATTAGAAAAATTGTACTTTTAAGTTAAAGCTATAAAATTTGACAGTATACAGTATACATGTGTTCCAGCAAATATTTTTGTGCAGACAGTGAGAATACGAGAATGAGGATAAATTCTAGATTTGTGAGGAAGTCCATGTATGTATATTTACTTACATCTGTATAACCATATAGAGTTCACAAAAATCTTTCTGGTAAGCTGCCCTCAAAGTTTCTCATCTTTCTTCATCACCCTCTCCTCAAGGCAAATCTTGAATTCTGGCAGAAACTGGAACTCAGATTACATTTGTTACAGTCAAGCTGAGAAAGAAATGTCGTTATCTTTTGCTATCTGTTTCTATTATTGTACTGCCATAGTTGCATCCTGTTTTGTAAGGCAAAACGTGGCAATGTGGATAAATGTAATTGCATCATGTTAAAATATAATATGGGTTTAGTTTGATTTGGTGTGATGTGTAAACCATGCTGTTGGATAGATGTGCGTGAAGTCAGCCAATTGTGACTTATTCAAATTATGCCTGAGCCAGAAGAATGAGGGCTTAAAGTCAGGAAGCTGCTTAGAATGAAGCAAAGAAAACTTTTTTTAAAATGTGAAATTATGGAAAACTCTTCTTGTCCCTTGTTTTATATTTTCTCTTAAGTCGAATTATGTTTCATTTGATTGAATTCTTTTGGAAAACATGTTTTGCTCTTTCCCAGCAGTTTCAGGAACAAGTGCCTGATGACTCCGAAGTTCAGTCTTTCTACAATGTAAGAAACTCACAAAGCTTTGTTCTGCTGGGAACTAGTCTGATGCTACGGTTGCTTAGTTGTGCAATTAATTTGTGCTTTCTTTGTGTTGGTGTGTTTTCTTTACTAGTAATGAGGGTCCTGTGACATTAGATGCTTGCAAAATTTTGTATGGTAGGGATCTGAAGCTTTTTTTTTTCTAAACCTCTGCAAGATCCACTTAATTCTGACTTCGTGCTTAGTGCTATTGCTTTGTAGAATCAAGTTGAGAGAGAGAGATAAGTAAAAGACATTGTGGCTCTTCTGTCCCAAAATGCTTAGAAGATAAATTTTGAGATGAAAAGGGCAGGTTAGGGGGGAAAAAAAAGGTGTGATGTCCGGTAGGCCTGTGATTATTAGAAACAATTCCAATTTAATCTCAAGCCCTGTCTGGAATCTCTATTTCCAAATTTAGTTTTCCTTTTCCTTATAACTTTTTGCATTTAAAAAACAAATTTCTTGTTTCTACTGTTATTAAAGTGCATCTTAACTTGACAAATTAAATAATTATATGTTGCAATCTTGGGTTTTGTTTTTATTTCCTCTAATTTGCACTTTATACCATCCTTAACAGTGACAGCTACAGTATTGTACTTTAAACAAACAGAGAATATTTGAAAATTTCTGAGCATGCAATTGATGTGGTACAATTCCTTTATTTGTTTATATTAAATTCCTTGGGAGGTTCCTGGCCTTCAAGACTACCTGCGGAAGTACTTTCCTAATTTTTAAATTGCCTTACTTAAAAACCATTCTAACTACTGTTTCTTTTTTTTTCTTTTTGAATTCTTAATGTTTGTGAACTTCAAGATGATCCTGCAGTTTATTCTGATTTGAGTGGTCTTTCTCTTCTTGATTGTTGACATATTCCCCAGTATGCTCTTTCTTTATTTTACTTTCACTTATTATTACATTTCTGCTGCCCAATTCTCAATAACTCTGAGTGGCTCACAAAGCTGCTACTTTTTGCATTTTTTACAACTTACGTTAATGCTTTTGCAAGTTTTAGTTGAAGCAACTTGGTATTGGGATCTGTGCCTTGAAATCTCTCCTTAGCTGTAATAGTGTGTTCTTTGTAAGTAGAAGGATTATATATTTTGAACATTCAAAATGATTCATATTTAAGCAAATCATAAATGGGAATTTACTAAATAATTGGAAATAACTTCTGTAGACTTGTTTCTCTAATACTAATGTACATACAAGTATGTATATATTTATTTTTGAAGATGACATAAAACAGTCTCTTTTGAACAAACAGCTTTTGTAATTAAGAATTTCTCTACTGCAGTTACATTTTTTGTGAAAAAATGTTTACTAATGTTTAATATATTTTTTCAGATTGAGAAAATCATGAGTTCGATTGGTGAAGGCATTGACTTTTCACAAGAGCAGCAAAGAATGTCAGGTACTGTACTGAATTTTATAGACGGATATGAGTTTTGTCTCAGGCTGCCATTTTTATTATGTCTGCATTCAAAAGAAAAAAACAAAAGCCAATGCAATAAGTTTAACCTGTTTGGGGTTTTTAATTTTTCAAGCCATGTTTCCATGTTTGGTGTTATCCTATTTCCAAGGTTCCAGATAAACTATTTTAAATAATTATTCTGTATTTCCAGATTGGATCGATAAACCCAAGGCTTAATTTAATTTAATGAACTACATTACTATAAGTAGATATTGTTATTTGTGTTAAATGCTTTGCACAACAGAAATTAAAATGTATGTACAGATGAGTGACAAAAATCTATCAAAAAGCCCAGATTGCTTCCCTAGCACTATTTGTAATATTTAGATAGGCTACATGTTCTGGAAGTCTTCTCCCAGAAGGCTACCAGAAGAAAAAGCTGCTTAAAGACATCTGCTTGCAGTCTTCTCTGGGACAGCTGGCTTTACCCATCCCTTACTTTTCTTTTTAGATAATTCTGGATCAGTGGTTTTAAATGGACTTTCAGCTGTAACAGTTGAGATCTGCCTTTCTTTGTTTCTTCCTTTTCCCAAAAGGGAAAAATAAGGGTAGGCAAGGCTCTAAGGAGCTGGCATTTGCTTCCAAAAGTGGTTAGAGGGAAGACCTTCAAGGTGGATGGGGTGGCGGTTGCAGATCAGAGAAGAGAGAGAAAATTCTGCTTGTGGGAGAAAGCTTCTTCATCTGTAACTTACAAATATGGCTAGGAAAATGGAGTCTAAAGAGAGAAAAATAAGGGCAAAACATATTAAATATGCAGAGTTTTAGTTTTGCTTAATAGTTTTTATTCAATTAGATCTATTACAAGGTAATGCCTTATATGTATCAGATGTAATCCCACTTATCATAGAAAGAGAGTTGGGCCAACATTTATCTAACCTTGATTGGAAATGGGTTTTGATAAAAGTTAAATAAAAACATTAAAGGAATCATACTGGATTGTATGAAAGTCCAATTTAGTCTAATATTGTATTCTTACAGTAGCCAACTATGGAAGTCCCACAAGCAGAACATAAAGTACTGAGTTTCATCTTTTTAACTGATCTTGCACATGAAACCAAATCCTACCTTAAAGGATTGATTTTAAACTTCTTAATATCTGTGATTTGCTTTCTAACCTTTTTGTGCTGTTGTGTCTCTGTGAGGATTTGGTTAAACCTTCAAACCCCTTCTCAAAAAAATGTATTTCAATGCAAAAAATAAAATGCACAGTTATAGGTTGTATTAACAAGAAAACTAATAATAGTCGAATGCAATCAAAATATTAATAGCAGATGTGTAATGTAGTAATACTCTATTCATCCATTAAATCACTAACAAGAAAAACTAAATTTCAGATAGTGGTTCATGAAAATCAAATTATAATTATTCCCATCTAAGTTCACAGACCCCCTGAAATCTTCCAACTTATGAACCCTTCTAGGACTTCACAGTTACATTCCCCACATCAGTAGTACCAAAGTATATCACAATTGCTGACATGAATCTAGCACTGTCTGTTGATTCAGATGGCCACATGATATATATTATCTTTTTATTAGGCAAGCATGTCACTATGCAACATACACCTCCATCACAATCTGAGTTTCCCTAGCTTGGAGATACAGCTTCAACTTTAGAGAATATATGTTCACTCTCTTGCAAACAGACTCATTTTAGAGATTATTTTCCTTTTTTCTGGAATAATACCCTAATTCTTCCAAGACTGTCATTTTGAACTACAGCAATGAACCATTATCCAGAGACTGAAACACAACTACCATAGCTGCAAAGATTCAACCATCAATCTTCAGTTTTTCCCCCAGATTAACGATGTTAGTTTCAAGAGAATAAACTCATTTCCTGAAAGCTAGGAACACATTAAAGTATATTGACAAATTTATGTCCAGCTGGCAGATAACAATAAATATGGCATCCAGTACAATATACAGGATAATGCCAACTATTCTGTTATAAAATTTATATTGATTCATAGCTCATCTTTATGCTGAAGTTGAAACTGTAACATTAAACTGTTTTGTCAGAGGCATTCTCACTCTGGTCATAGCTCCCTCTATCTTGAAACACCCTATTTCTATAGCTGCAGGTAGCTTTATGTGAATGATATTGCAACCAATTGAATTGGAAATTCTCGTGTTAAAAAAAAAGTTGTGGGTTAACTGATGTTGAATAATTTTTAATCTAAAAGATGTTATTTATATGAATAAGAATAAAGATCATAAGAATTGTAATGCTGTATTGGTATCATTTAATAATCAACAGTCTAGAGAAAGAATACAATTGTAACATTTTCAGTAATACATGGTTGTATAATCAGTATAGAAAAAAATACACTGAAAATTTCACTTTTGCATAATAACTAATGCAGAATTTTGGCATTGCCCTTTAAAAAAAATACAGCCCCGAGCAGAAGAGCTTTGGCAATGAATGAAATGCCTCCCCACCCAAAAAAATCAGAGGAAGATAATCAGTCTATCTCTGCTTCAAGTGAATATATATTTATGTTGCCTTTGAGCCAAAATTGTGTTCTGTACAGTCCATTTAATGCTTTACTCTTCTAGGTAGTCATACAGGAATTATAAATTACTCTAGTTCCGTGGTGGCGAACCTATGGCACGCATGCCACAGATGGCACGCAGAGCCCTCTCTGTGGGCGTGTGCACCATCGCCCCAGCCCTAGGCCTTCAGTCGGATTTTATAAAACCTTTTCGCTTTAGGCCTCCGCCGCCATGTGCAAAAAAAAAAAAAAAAGGTTCAATCAATCAATCAATTTCAACTTCTTGCGGGGAAAAAAAAAGATCTCGTAAAGTTGGAATTGATTGATTGAACTTTTTAGTCCCACCTAGCCTGCAGTTACCACTGCAGCCATGCCCACCCAATGGGCCACGCCCACCCAATGGGCCACGCCCACCTGGCACCCGACGATACATAAGTGGGTTTCAGGTTGCAGTTTGGGCATTCGGTCTCTAAAAGGTTCGCCATCACTGCTCTAGTTCTCTTAAAAAATGTCAGTCATGCAAAACTGTTTATTCTCTAGAGGTACTGTCAACATCTAGCTCGAGAATCCAAACTCCAGGTTCAGTTCATTTCCGAAAAGCTTATTGAATACACAACTTGGTTATATCAAAGAAAAACTAACTCTGAGGTTCCAACACCAATTCATAGACTTACACAATAGTTCTCCCAACCAACCCCCCAGTCTCTTATGTAATATATATCAACAAGTTCACTTTGTTATGGGAACCGCCTGCTTCAAATCCTCACTGTTATGGCAGGGGTGTCAAACTGCCAACCCACAGGCTGTTTGTATCATAAGGAGGCCACGCCCACCCCAGCTCTGGCAATGCAAAAAAAAAGTCACGATACATCGCAACATATCACATGACACAGCAAGTTTGACATCCGTGTCTTATGGTGTCCGTGACAAGGTTTCAGCCTCTCACGGTCTCCAGCTGAATCGAAGAGATTACATTTCTCCATTTAACCCATTTGAAAGTAACACCCCCCTCCCCTCAATATAAAGGTAAGATGAAATGCAGAGGCACATAGCTGCCAAAGTTTTATCCTTGACAGGTACTTCTTCCGGTGAACCCCCAAATGCACATATTATCTCCATATCCAAAACAAATAAATAGATAAGGATGCAGATTTAAATTATAAGTTTTTATGATAAGTCAGGAATGAAAAAACCAACCCCCCAAAAAAAGTATTTATGGATTCCAGTTTGAGTTTATTTAAAATGAAGAAAGGTTGGTCCACAAGAGATTTCAAAAAACTTTTTAATACTTTAAAAATAGCCAGGATTGTTTAGCTTATAGCAGACAATAGGGAAGTTAAGTATATAGTATGGGTAAAGGAACAAATTCAATGTTGCATCTGATTTCTAGACTCCAGAAATAATTCAGTGATCTATATCTTAATAGAACAGCCAATACATTATTATACGACTTCCATTTATTGATTATCTGCCATCAAGTCAGTGTCTATTCTTAACAACTACATAGATTGATCTTCTCCAGAGTGATTTATCCCTAACTTGGCCCTTTAGGTTTTCCAACAGTGCAGCCATTGAATCCATCCACTTACCTCTGGCCATCTTCTTTCCTTTCCTTCCACCTTTTCTGATATGTTGTAATAGAACAACCCCTATAATGTTTTAAGAGTTCCATTATATAACTGAAAAAATACAGATCAGCCATCTGGTAAATTTAGTTTATAAAAAATAGTGGAAGGGACATTGAATGTATTATGGGTTTGCCACAAAATAATTATAATTTATTTAGTATGCCTCTGAATACCAGGAGTTGGAGAGCACAGTTGGTAGGAAATATTGTAGTGGTTTCCTGCTTGGTATTTTCTCAGAGCCATCTATTTAGGAACTGTGTAGAACAAAATACTGGATTAGAGCTCTGACCCAATTCAGAATGAATTTCATACGTTATAGGACTTAGCTGCCACCCTGCAATGTGAATCTAGATGTATAGCTTTTGATTAGAAGTTTTTATTGTTCAGTACAGTACACAAAGTGGTATTTTTCATTTTCTTCTGCTGAGACCTGAATTTACTCTAGGACAGACATGTCAAACGCAAGGCCCGGGGGCCAGATGTGGCCTGCGAAGTGGTTTCATGTGGCCCGTGAAGCCATCCTAGAAACAGTGAGGGAATGGCCCAGGCCAGCCTGGAGCCAATGTACAATTTTGTGGTGGCCATCTATGCTGAAACACATTCAGTCTTAGCTCCACAAGGCCATCCAGAAACAGCCAGGAACCAGCCCCTGTCACGTTGGCCCGCCCCCTGCATGCATGCTGGGGAGGTGTCACCCTTTGTGAGGAATGAAGAAATGGACCATGCCTTGGCGCTTGCCCCGGCCCCACCCCCACCCCCTTCTGCCAGAGACCCTCAGATCTGTCCCACTCCTGTCCAGGCCCCCACAGGCACCCTTG